TAATGCCAAAAAAATTGCGGAATCATTTTTCTCGCAAAAAAAATTTTTGGCGGGAAAATTTTTTGGCGGGAAAAAATTTTACGGGAAAATTTACAAGGTATTTTAAAGGTTTTACAAGTTTTTACAAGTGTTTTTGGCGGGAAAAATTGTGGGATCACTTTTCCCGCCAAAAATATTTTGTATTTTGTGAACCTAATTTTGTTATATTTCCTTATATATTTGTAATATCTTTTATTAAAAGAAGGGTAATTTAGTCATTTTGTACATAAAAAGGGGTATTTTTAAAAATGGACAGCCAAATGGGGCATTTTTGAAAAAGGGTATTGAAAAAGGGGCATTTTTGTGAGTCTCTCAAAAATAAAATAAAGATATTTTAGACATTTTTGTGATAAAATGAGTGATAACTTATAATTATATTTAATATATTATTTTCAATTAAATATATATAATTAACAATGTTTTTTAATCTATGAATATAACATTTTGTACTATTTATTATAGATGTATAATTTATATTAATTTCATAATCTATTTTCTTAATTAATACTATTTTTATATATGAAACTAATAAAATTCAAGATATTATATTATAAAACAAGTAAAATAATAGAGATAAATAACAATACTTTTAATATATTAAACAAAAAAAATTCAAACTTAAGAAAAATAGCACAAAACATATGTATTACTAATATATCAAATAATTATTTAAAATTTAGACGCCCAAAATTTGCTTAATATTGATGGGCTAAAAGCCTAAAACAAATGCCTTTTATTTACTTTTACAGGCACGTCTGCGTGTGTAGTGAAGTAAAAACTTGATTCCTGAACTAACATGATCATTCCTTAATTTGTTGAATCGCCAATAATACTTCTCAAGTTTGTGTGTGTATACCCAAATTAATTCAAGAGGAAACAAAAGCGAATGAGACCGCACTCGATTAGTTATGTTGAAGTACACAATCACATCAGGTTCATATCCACATACATTTTCTCACAAAGTAATAGATAACTAAACCAGACAAAACTAAGAACTCCCATATACATATGCCTTGTTTTTGATTATGAGCATAAAACATTCAAGAGTGACAATTAGTTCAAATAACCTAAACAAAAACACCATTATATTGTTTATATAAAATATTAATGGACAACCAAACCAGACAAAACTAAGAGCTCAGAATTTTCTCAGATACACATATTTTGTTGTTGAGGATAAACATTCAAGAGCTAAACAAAAACACTATCAAAGAGAATCAATATATTGGGGACGTTTCAGTCGCTACTAAATCGCTATAGTAAGGCTATTATTCAGATGTTCACGCAGAAGTTTCAAGCCTTCTGTGGTCCTTTGTGTCACTGTCACATCACCAGTAACACCGGCCAAGGCCTGAATATACCTCTCCAATGAAGTCATATCAAAAATCTTACGCTCATAATCAAATGCAGCCACAACCTCTTCCATACTACAATAAAACCACATTATGGATTTTAGAAGTTCATATCATAGTGTAAAAATTTTATATATCTTATAAATAAAAAAAACTAACCTTGGAAACGCGTAATCTATAGATCTCCCATCGTCCGGAATATATCCAATCAATGATATTCTAGCATTGCATTGAATTCCATATATAGCATGCCAATTAGTAAAAATATGTTATGGAATTCGAACCGCAATATCATCAAGGCATAATTCGCATTTTTTTCATTTTAGAAAGAATAGATATTATTATTTAGTTTTTGTCCAAATGTTGAATCACTGTGAATAGATGTTAAATAACCAGTCAAATAACTTTTTTTGCTAATATTCTCAATGGCGACGTTACTATTTTACATAAGTAGATTCTCTACATCGCACTTGTCATGCACATTACTATTTGGAGCCTAAATATGATACTTTTTTTTATTTGATCAACTTTTAGCTTATTTCAAACATATTTTTATCAAATACTTAATCCTATAACTTTTTATACTAATTTACTCTAATCATATATATATACTAGATTTTAACCCGCGGTACACCGCGGGATGATTTAATTTTAAAGTTAGTATAAAAATATTTTGTAAATTGTATCTCCTTATAACATATTTATTTATATTATAGTTTACAATTGTTATTAAGTAACGGTATACCACGAGTCCACGAGATAATTATTAATAAACTGAGGATTTAACCCGTATTAAAGCGGTATATAAATATTGATTCAAATTCGTCTGCCATATAAATCATTTCTGAAATATAACCCGTTCCGTAATTTCTTAACCCGTCATGTGATTTGTATTAAAAAAAAGGATTAAATCCGTATTGAAGCGGCGGATTAATGATATTTTAATCTTTTTATTATTGTTGATTCAAAAACCCGTCCCGCCAAACCCATCCCGCCAAAAAACTCATTTATTTTATTAATGTTCTTATTTATGATATGATTCTGAATCATTATCTAAATATTTTAATCGATGTAGAACGTTGAACACACATTTTCGTCAATTGGATAATATATGTCCGTTTTTAAAATTTCGAATCACAGTATATGCAGAAAAAAATTGTTTTTTTTTACTTTATATATTATATGATGATTCAAAACAGTTAAAAACAAATCAAACAAAGATGATAGGAGAATCATAATTATAAATCTTAATCAAATCTTCTAAAAATCTAAATTATTAAATATGGAATATCCGGTGTATGAGTTGGGTTAAATATAACCCGACCCAACAAATTTTTTGTGAAGGAATTTTTAAAATGGGTCGGATATCCGATATACCCGAAAGCTTTTTTACCCACCCGTCACAAAAAGTGCTGCGATTATACTAGTATAGATATATAAGCATGATCCTAAGACTAAACCCTAAATAGTGTATTGGTGAGTTTTGCTTTGAGATAAAATAAAGTAATTAAAATATGACTACGTAATTTTCTTTTGACTTGAGGTAAATAATACATATTCCATACGATGTCAAAGAAATCTCTTTCTTTAGTTTTCGTAGCAAACGGATTTATGAATACCTGCTTGGCTGCTTGTTATAAACGATATCCAATGCTTTTTTTTTATCCAACGCTATTTATCCACACAAGTACGTACACAACATGATAGGCATACCTTTTCAACAATTTTTTTTTTTTTTTTTGAAATATGTATCATCGAATCTCATTGATCTACTCCAGACACTGAACGTTGTAATTTAAAATTATAGTCTAAATTAACTCTTGTATACTGTAAGAACAATTCATACCCTTGTATCATTCAATCATATTTACCTCCACAATGACTATTATGAAAAGTCCAAACAATTGCTACATTAAACAAATATAGTCTTTCACCAGGCTAATTAACCCATCCCCTATTCTTAAACGTACAAAAACATAAGGGGAAATAAAAGAAAAAAGACGTACAAAAACATTCACCCTTATTAATTTGACTTTGAATTCTTATTACTATAATCTTATATTTATTGTAGTTGTATTATTCATCTCCGGTTGCTTTGTGTTAAGACTTCATCTTACCATAACCCGATGCAACCATGCACACATATTTTTGTCCAAACACAACGAGGAAGTAATATCATCTTTTTTTTGTTCTTAAACCAAGAGTAATACTATGATACTATCATCTTTTCAGATTTACTTAATTTCTTATTTTCTCACATGCTACTCAAAAAATTGTGAATGGTGGCGCGCGGATTTGCCATTAAGGCATTAACCGTAGGAGGAAGGACACAGTCTATCTTTTTGTCATAGTGGTCACCTAGTTTGGCATGCGAAAACATTTCAATGTTTTGGTAAATGAAAATCATCATGGAGATAGCTGATACAATGTCAGCAGCAAGCAATTTGAATAATCTACAATGTAATATTACTTTCTTATATGTATTATCCAAATTGCTTTAATTTTTTCAAAAGTATCTTTACAATTTCGCATTGTAAAGATTTACATCTAATAAAAAACGAATCTGTGATATTTGATGTTTAGGTGTAATAAAGTAATAACATTAATTAGACAGAAATATGTTTTAATGTGAATTATATATAAAGTAATATCTTCCTACCAAAAATATAATATATAAAGTAATATCTTAAATATAAAAGACTCTGGGTTTGATTGGCAAGTGCTTTAGAGTCTTTACAAAGCAAAAAAATTTCTAAAGATTTGAAATACATCCAATCAAGCTTTAGAAGCTTTGACTTTCCTTTTTTTTCTCACAGACAAAATATTTCCTTAATTCATTTTTTTGGCTGTAGAAAGCCTTTTTTTCTAAAGCACATAATTTTTAACTTTCCAAAATTTTAAATTCCACAGCCAAAATACTACAGCACTAAAATCTACAGCCACAACAAATAAACCTACAGTCATATTTTTACAGCAAAAAATGTAAAGTTACAGCTGTTACCAATCAGGCCCTTTATTCATAAATGTAAATTATCCTGAGTAGGATTTTGTTTAACAAAATAAATAATTGAACTCACATAATATGGAAATAAATCCAAAGCATTCATTTTATTTATTTTTAGTTAAAGTTGTTTATTGATAAAGTTGTTGATTCAAACCTTTCATATTTCATTTAACTATATAGTATAAATTACCAGTTTTGTCTCACGTACAAATGTTTAGCTATTTGAGGAATAAAATTACCCAAAATTTGGTTTCTGCATTTTGATTGTATATTGAACCAAGTTCAAAAAGGTGACCCAAATGTCGATAACAATAGTACAATGCCAAGTTTATATCTGTACCTATATCCAAACACTCCTAAAATCTTCCAACTAAATTCCAACACATGCGACCGGTATGACTTCCCTAACAAGTCACTTGTTTCTTTTTCCTCTGTCCTCCTAAAACGGACAAGCAATTAAAAAAAAAAAAAAAACGTCAATCGCTGGAGAAAATTAATCCACCGTCCGATTGATTATTAATAGGTCCCACTAAAACCAACGATCCAGATCTTATCTTCACCGTGCACCGCCCTACAGCGTAATTCTCCCCAATCTCTCTGTCTATAAAACCGGAAACCAAACCTACGGATTCTCTACTTCTCCACATAAGTTACATCTCTCGTGTTTTGTTTTCTTTGTCTCCGATTTTTCGCGACGAAGAAGAAGACGAGAGAGCTAGAGAGAGAAGTAGAAAAATCGAAGGATTCTGTAACCGATTTTAAGATCTCAATTTTAGGGTTGTTGATTTTTTTTCTGGGTTAAATTTTTAGGGTTTTCTTTGAAATCATGTCGGATGCGTATTGTACTGATTGTAAAAAGGAGACGGAGCTGGTGGTCGATCACTCAGCCGGAGATACCCTTTGCTCCGAGTGTGGTTTGGTTTTGGAATCTCACTCCATTGATGAGACCTCTGAGTGGCGTACCTTCGCTAATGAATCATCCAACAGCGATCCCAATCGTGTCGGTGGTCCAACCAATCCGCTTCTCGCCGATAGTGCTCTCACCACTGTCATCGCTAAGCCCAATGGTTCCTCCGGTGATTTCCTGTCTTCTTCTCTCGGGAGGTGGCAGAATCGTAACTCCAATTCCGATCGTGGTTTGATTCAAGCGTTTAAAACCATTGCTACCATGTCTGAAAGGTAGTGCCATTTTGAGATCTCACCTTCTCTGAGATTGGATTGGAACCTTATAAAGAATTGAAACGTTTAGATCATATGACCCTTAATCCTCTTGGAGATTGATTTTGTATGGACTTGTATTTGGGATCTTGTTAACGGATCTACCTCTTGCATACTCGTTTGTGAAACCACATTGTCAATTACAAAACAAAAGGAGGTTCCTTTTTAATCTTTCATTGAGAGTTCTTTCTTTCCTTGTACTTTCATGCGTTTAGCTCGCGTTGTGTTTGTCTGTTGAATTAGCTGCTGCTGTTGGTTTAGAGTGTTTGTTTACGTTACCAGATTTATGTTCTGCTGTGTGTGCACATTGTGATGCTTGTGATAATAGAGAATGAATACTCACTTGTTGGTATTTGTTCCAGGTTGGGACTTGTTGCGACAATCAAGGTAAGCCAGTGTATATGTTTGTGGAACGTATATGTTAGGATGTGCTAGTGGAGCATTTCATTTATAGCTTTGGTGGCTTTTTGTGATTTGTAGGATCGGGCTAATGAGATATATAAGAGGCTGGAGGATCAAAAGACAACCAGGGGAAGAAATCAGGATGCACTCTATGCAGCCTGCCTGTACATTGCCTGTCGCCAAGAGGACAAGCCACGAACCATTAAGGGTACTTTTCAAAGATTTCTCATTTGAGAGAGTCTTGTTACCTCTTGATATCGCTTTGACATAAGTCAATCAAACTCCTGAACCTTGTGAATAGAAATATGCGTTATTGCCAATGGTGCGACAAAGAAGGAAATTGGCCGAGCAAAAGACTACATTGTTAAGACATTGGGACTGGATCCTGGTCAGTCTGTGGAACTAGGCACAATACACGCTGGTGATTTCATGGTGAGTTTGTCTAAAGCTATATAAAATTTGTTGCTGATACCAGAACCTAGGGTGTGCTTTTAATTATGTTATGAAACAGTTGATTTTGTTGGCTGCATTGACTATGTAGTTTCATAACTCTGTACTTGATGATATTGCAGAGAAGGTTCTGCTCCAACCTTGGAATGTCTAACCATGCGGTTAAAGCTGCTCAGGAAGCTGTGCAAAAATCTGAGGAATTTGATATAAGGTACATTTCAATTATATCCCTAAGTTGGGAACAAGATAGACACAGGAGAACTTAGAGATGTTTATTTGGGATATTGCAGGAGGAGTCCTATATCAATAGCAGCAGTAGTTATCTACATCATAACCCAGCTTTCTGATGACAAGAAGACTCTCAAAGGTCTTTTTTTTTTCAATTTGTTGGGGGCACATTTATTCGAGTAAAGAGTTGGAAACAAATCTTAAGACTGATCAATATTTTGGGGTGCAGATATATCGACAGCGACAGGAGTAGCAGAAGGGACAATAAGAAATTCATACAAAGACTTGTACCCACATCTGGCAAAGATAGCACCAAGTTGGTATGCTAAGGAAGAGGATCTTAAAAACCTGTCAAGTCCTTGAAGTTGTTTCTTGATTCTTCTATATGCAATAGAGAACTATCTATCTATCTATAAATCTATATTGAGGAAGATACAAAGCAATTGTTCTCTCTCTAGTAGAGGCTTTTGTTTTTTTTTCAAATCTTTCTTGGAGTCCTTTGCTAAGATTCTTGTAATGGCGTTAAAAACTTGAAAAAAAAGATTATTATTATTTTTATAGTAAGAAGGTATTTCTTTTCTCACTCTTACTGCCCCCATACGATACTTTTTTCTCGATAAGAGCATGATTATCCATAGTGTCTTAGAAATAAATCTTAGGAATATTTAAGTAATATATTTGTAAAATATGGTTCTTAACTATTTTTTTGTTGCTTACCTAAGAAACCCTCTTAGCAATAATGGTTTAGTTGGGATTTAATTTTAATCATTTATTGCTAAGATCCAACTTAAGAAAACTTTAAGAACCTGCCTTTAATCATGGTCTAAAAGTTCTTACATGTTACATTTTTAATTTTTTTTTTTACATGATACATCTTTAAAAAACGAGCTAAATTCTAAAAAAGGCATCCTTTTTTTTTTTTTTTATATTACACACAGTAAAAGAAAAGGAAAATATCCTTTAAAACCTTTGTTTAATTAGGGTTTCTATCTCTTTATATATTTACGAGCTCTTTTACATTCTTTTTTTCTTCATCTAGATCTTCTCCCTTCAACTTTTGTAATCTCTCCAAAACGTATCTCATGACTCATGTCTCTAAATTTTCAATATGATTTAAATCTTTGCTCAATGATTAGCTTATTTTTATTGTTATTTAGTATTTTATACTCAAATTCTCTTTTATGTTGAGATTTATGGATGACTTTCTTTATAGTATTAATCTATGAGTATTTTTATTACTATTGTTATCGCCTTTTCCATACTGTCCCCGTATCCATAAATTATAAATATGCCGTTTTCCGTTTCCGTCCCCATCCCCGTTTCTCGTACCCGTACCCTTATCCGTCGCAGTCCAGCATAGAATCAGAGAGATCAATCATCATCAAAAGCATCACCGGTACCTCCTTCGTTAAGAAATTCGACAAAATATCTATGTCTCGGCTTGTCAACCAGTCGTCTGTTGATGAAAATATTGCAATCTATTTGCAATATGGGTTATTGGTCAGAAGATTCAACAACAATATCAAAATAAATTGATATATAGCGATGCCGCTATTGCTTTGGAGATTCAGCAAGACGAAGGTAAATAAATCATTATAGGTTTTAGTTTTCAATAGCAAAATATTTTATGATATCTTTGTTAATAATTAATTAATTGTGGGATTTTTGTCATATAACGAAAACCACCTCGATTTTGTATTAAAATTTTACAGAAGCTTGTGTGTACTCTTGCTTACATGATGAAGGATTGGCAAGAACGTTGCAAGACTTGGAGGGTAATATATCTTATTATGCTTTTACATACTTTAATTTGTTCTACGTTTAAAATCACTATACACATCAAAGAGTCTATCATCATTATAATGTACCAATTTTGAGGTTTATTTTTCCTTTTAGTACTATAGCTAAGTGTGGAAGTTTCAACTCTAATGTTTTCCGGATGATGGAAACTCTGATTAACATAGTTTAGAGCAAAAAAAATAATAAAAAAATAATCGTTTTTTATGTTTTTGTACAAATAAACTAATACATACATATTCCAAAATCATGAATTACGGACCTATAAATCGTTTAATGGTATTTCAAATTTTATTTGTTTTGTAGGTAAACTGCAGCCCTCTCTAAGCGATGATGAAATACTTGCTAGATATTTGCAAGAACAAGATGAATGTAAGTTTCTTATTTTTTCACCAAATGCCTTAGTTTCATAATTCTCACTGACTTGATCAATAATTTAGTCATTTACCAATTGTACAATGTTTTACTGTATTATCATACCTAGCGGCAAATAATACGGACAATGATATCCAAGAAACCCATCACCGTCAGTACCAACCCATGCAAGGTATATATTAAATATCGAATTCGTAAATAGAATTACATCAAGTTACTTAGTTTTTTTCTACTTGTTCACAAAGAAAAAAGTGCAAGCATGATTGTATTGTATTTCGACAAAAATATTTTCTCATGACTTAGTTTGTTACTTTTTTTTATATAACTTTGTTCGACACTTTTTTACGCTAACACTTTTATATTTCCTTCAATCTGCAGTAAATCGTTCAAACATACCTCAACGTGATGCCCTATCGGTAATTAATTACTCAGAAAAACTTACATAGTTTTTTTTTTTAATTGGGTATAGCTAGGGACTCTACATATATAAATCAACGAGTATATCTATATTTTCATTAAATTTATGGTTTTATGTTTAACCAAAAAATATTTTCTAAATTTTTCTTAACCTTGGGAATTGTCACATATTATTGTAGTAAATTGATTATTGGTTGAAAAAACTTTTTGCTTTGGATTATAATTTAGACTAGTAAAGCCTTTTTTCACTACGACGGTGGTGAGAACTTCTCGGATCATTATACGCATAGTCGTAGTCCTTCAAATATCTCCCACAATCCTCCCGATAATGAGAACATTGATCCCGCAAGTATGACGTATGAGGTATGTACCGTGCGAACTCAACATTTTCATATATATATGGTTTATGATCCCGAAAATAAATCTTATATATCAATGTTGTTTTCTTTTGATTTGGGTTAATAGGAAATATCTGAATTAGAAGACTCCATTGGAGATTTCAGTAAAGGATTATCGCAAAAAATGATCTCTCGATTGCGGACTCATAAGTATGGTATTCAAACCAAAACTTGGTGCTGTTGGCTTAAGAAAAAAAAGTTTGTTGCCGATGATTCTCAGTAAGATAATTTTACTGTATCTTTCATGTTGGTTAAAAAGTTTTTGTCCCTCATTTGGATTTTTGCTTCGTTACTTATAAACCAAATTAATTAAGTTATTGCTTTCAAATATAAGTGTTGGTTTAGAGCATGAATCTAATTGGGTGTGGATAATATTGTAGGTGTTCAATATGCCTAGTGGAGTATGCAAAGGGAGATAAGATTACAACTTTGCCATGTAAACATGTTTACCATAAGGATTGCATTTCACGATGGCTGAAACAAAACAAGGTATGAACATAAATTCAGTCTAAATGTTTATTTACCATGTGTTGTGTAATGTACAAAACACATTCTCATTTAAGTATTTATTCTAAGGGAATCAATTTAATATGTATTATTTTTATATTTTTTCAGGTATGCTGCGTTTGCAAAGCCGTGGTTTATCCATAATAATACTAAATCTTGTCGGGACAATTTATAATGTTCGGTTTAGACTTTTATTAAAAGTTCTCGTCCAATCATTCACCTATAACTTACCATTAAGTTAGATGAAAACTTGTGCCTATGCATAAGTTTATATAATCAAATATGTGAGGAGGTTTTATTGATTTCAAAACTTTAATTATTAAAAAGGTGTGATTTTTGATTTTTTAAAACAAAAACAAAACAAAAAATTCTCTTTTAAATACAAGAAAATTAATTTACAAAATTTACACATATGAAAACCAGAAATATCGATAGCAATCTCTATAGGTGAATGATTGGACGAGTAAAAAGTAAAAACAAAAAAAAGAAAATATTAAGAAAAAAGGTTTGAATCCCCCGAGAGAGAGAGAGAGAGAACCCGAACCCTCTCTTTGCTTCTTCTCCGACTGACTGCGAAAATCAATGGCGAACGACCAAGAGATGAGTGGTTGGACTGATCTTCTCCATTCTTCGTCGAAGCTTCTTGAGCAAGCTGCTCCTTCTTCTCAGTTTCCTCCTCTTCAGGTTCTTCCGCTTTCCGCTGCTTTTGAGGTTCAACATTTAAGAACAGTTCGATTGATTTGTGTATGTGTCTCTATCAGAGAAATTTAGATCAATTGGAAGCGTTATCGAAGAAGCTCAAGGCTAAAACCCTAAGGAACGAAGCTCCTTCTCAGTCTATTGCTGCCACTAGGTTATTCCCAATAATCGAGTGCTAGCTATTTTGGGTGGCAAAATGAAACAATTGAAATGTCTTGATTTCATTGCTCAACTTTCAAATGGAAGTAGCTAGTTCCCAAGAGCAAGCGTTGATTCTCTTGTCTTTATTGTTTCTTGGACATTGCAGACTACTCGCACGGGAGGGAATCAATGCAGAGCAACTAGCTCGTGATCTTAAATCTTTTGAGCTCAAGGTCACATTTTTCTTATTCTATATTTCATCTGAGCTGATTCTGCTTATAATGTGCTTCAAGGATTACTTTGTGTATTGGTGTGTTTTGCTTCGAGATAAGAAAGTACAATATGTGAGTAAGTAGTTTTTCTTTTTAGTTGAGATGAAACATACTTTTCATAAAGGAATCTGCTTCATCTTGGAGTCCCACCTTTGTATGCTTACACATATCTCAGCTTGTAGTCTGCTTTTCAAGTGTGATTATTCTTTGTACCATTATGTGATGTTTTCTTTTTCTAATTCTCTTTAAAGACAACATTTGAGGATGTGTTCCCTGCTGAGGCGACGAGCGTTGAAGAATACCTGCAACAGGTACTTCTATTTCTCCAAGGTTTACTATCTATATTATCAATATAAATTGATTGTCTTGGCGATGATTGGCCGTTATGATGTGTATTGTTTTTTTTTTTTTGCTTTAGGTTCATGAAATGGCTATAGTATCAGCTATACAGGAAGCCCAAAAGGATAATGTTCGAAGCTTTAATGACTACATGATGAAAGTGCTGGAGGTTTGTATTCTGGCTATCCATATTTCCACTTTAATTTTATCTGTTACTTCTTTTTCCTCCTAGCCTTTTATTTCTTCTCATTATGCATTTGCATGTAAAGATTGATAAGTCACTGTGTGATACAGAGGCACATATTTTGTTTTCCTACTTAAAAGTTGTCAATTGTACATTTGTACTATGTTTTTATCTTTTGAAAGAAACTTTTCATGGATGTGGATGGTTTGCTAAGTGATAGATTAGAAGGATATGGATGCTAAATATTGAATGTGAATTTGACTTGACAGGAGGATTGGAGAAAAGAAAAACGTGACTTCCTTCAGAGCCTCAGCAGAATATCAATGCTACCTAAAACAAATATGATTGATACAAGCAGAGAGGCTCATGCTGGTCAACTAGTGCCGGTGGCCTCGAGTCCTCGAGTATCCTCAACACCAGGCAAAGAACTCGTGGCTCTGGCTAACATACCCATTCATGAGAAAAAAGCATATGTCTATGGAGAGGTTGTGAAGAAACTTAACTCTTCAAGAGAACGAGGCTTGCCATTTAGAGTATGGATTCCTATACCTTGTCTTGAAACTTAGTACTGGTTCACTTTACTTGAATTACTGTTGATACTTGTAGCTGAAAAATATTCATTTTCCTTAACTACTTTTAGAAGTCTAGCTAGAATTGTTATAACTTTTTGTTCGGTATGCACTCTACCTTTCATGCAGCAGCCATTAAAACTGGCTACCCTCATATTAATTGTTTGGGTGTGCTTTCTAGTTTCTACTGATCGCATTTTTACTTTTGTATAGCCTGCTATGTGTTTTAAGGAAGCTTATGATACTCTTGGTGCTGAGGTTACTCGTGGAAAATCAGTCAACATGCAGAAAATATGGCAGCTTGTTCAGGTAATCTTTTGACTGGAGACTATATCTTCCAGCCAACCACCCTCGTAAGGATTGTTCTTATCTTTCTACCTTTATTATTTTCATGCAAATGACTGATTGTTGACAAAAAATTTCCAGGCAATAACAGGTGAAGATTCAGCAGTTCGACAGGGTGTTTCGAAGAGGATGGCCCTCGCGATAGGTGCAAGACATCATTTACAACATGGGCATGAGAAATTTATAATGGACACAATTCAAAGTCACCCTACCCAGGTATCCATTTCTCTCTCGTTTATTATTTTTTGTTTACTTAGTAATAACAGCTAAGACATGTATGTCTGATTACCCTCTTCCTCAAATGGTTGGGTGCTGTCTGAAAGGGTTCCATGATCTTCCAATCCTATTTCAAGAGTGTTGGTAATCATTTTGACATGTTTCTTGCTTTCTTAATTCCTGTTCTAGGCTGCTCTTGGTGGATCTGTTGGAAATTTGCAAAGAATTCGTGCTTTCCTTCGGGTTAGTGTCCCAGATTTAAAAGAGTACACACGGAAAATGTTCATAGGGCTGTTTAGCTTTCTTATTCTCATGTTATCTGTACTGTGCAGATTCGTTTGAGAGACTATGGAGTTTTAGATTTTGATTCAACTGATGCTCGTAGGCAGCCTCCTGTTGATACTACTTGGCAACAGGTTTTTTGGATTATTTCCCTCTTGCTTTGAATTTTAAACTTTTTCATGACCATATGATTGAGATATAGAGATTTACACTGTGGGCCTGAATAAGTTATATCTTTCTCTTAAACCCAGATATATTTTTGCTTGCGAACTGGGTATTATGAGGAGGCTAGGGAAATCGCTCGGGCAACGCGGTCATCTCAGCAATTTGCACCACTGGTAGGTTTACTTTAGATCTTGATATATCATACAAGCCTTTTGGAATCAGCTCTTTCTTATATTTCCGTTTTTGGCAGCTTACCGAGTGGATTACCACAGATGGTATGGTGGCTGCAGAGTCTGCAGCTATTGCATCAGAAGAATGTGAGAAAATGCTAAGGATGGGTGATCGGTTGGGTCGAACCGCTTATGACAAGAAAAAACTCCTACTCTACACTATCATTTCTGGTTCCCGTAGGCAAGTTGAGCGCATACTGAGGGATCTATCTACACTCTTTAACACAATTGAAGATTTCTTATGGTTCAAATTGTCATGCATAAGAGACGTCACTGGTGTATCTTCATCTCTGGTCCTGAATGATGGCCTTGCGCCTTACAGTTTGGATGATCTTCAGGCTTATCTCAATAAATTCGAGCCTTCATACTACACGAAGAATGGAAAAGACCCCTTAGTATATCCATATGTTTTGCTTCTCAGCATTCAGTTGCTACCGGCTATCATGCACTTATCTAAAGAAGCAGGAGACGGAGGGTATAATATTGATGCTATTCACATAGCTATTTCTTTGGTGGACCATTCCGTTTTATCTGAAGGCTCTGGGACTGGCCACAAACTAAGTGTGATGGATTCTAACGCTGAGGCATCTAGCATGATTAGGCAATATGGGTCAATGTTCCTGCATCACGGAGATCTCCAAATGACGGTAGAGTATTATGCACAAGCTGCTGCTGCTGTAGGTGGGGGACAATTAGCTTGGTCTGGAAGAAGTAATGTGGATCAACAGAGGCAGAGAAACTTAATGCTGAAGCAGCTACTAACTGAGATTCTGCTTCGAGAAAGAGGTATTTACTTTTTGCTTGGAGCAAGAGGTTCTGGTGAAGAAGGTCAGCTTGGAAGATTTTTCCCTGATTCTAGATTGAGACAACAGTTCTTGGTCGAAGCTGCACATCAATGTCAAGAAGCTGGATTATATGACAAAGTAAGTAACTTCTCATCTAACATTGTTTCACTGCATAGTAAGTCTGTCTTTTGATAAAGCTTTCACCATGTTTTCCATCTTCTCAGTCCATAGAGATACAGAAGAGGGTGGGTGCATTTGCGGCTGCCTTGGAGACTATAAACAAGTGTCTATCTGAAGCCATCTGTTCTCTTGCCCGTGGAAGGTTGGATGGTGAAAGCAGAACATCAGGGCTTATTCTCGCAGGGAACGATATTCTTGAGACTTACAAATATTACCCTGAAGTCAGGTATATAATTGAAAGCTAGAAATCTACTTTGCCTTAAGTTGAAAATGTGCTCAAGGTGTTTGCTTTTATTCTGCCACTGACAGTCTCCAGGAAAGAGAGCGAGTGATGGAACAAGAAACCATACTAAGAGAGCTTGAGGCAATACTATCGATCCACAAGTTGGGTAGATTAGGCAATCATCTGGATGCTTTAAGGGAAATTGCAAAACTTCCATTCCTTCATCTTGATCCAAGAGTGCCCGATGCAACCGCTGATGTGTTCCAGAGCGCATCTCCTTACTTCCAGGCTTGTGTCCCGGACCTGCTCAAAGTTGCTCTAACGTGTCTGGACAATGTACCTGACACTGATGGGTCGATCCGTGCCATGAGATCCAAGGTACATAAATGAACAAAAACATAAAGTTTGGTTGAATGAATCTATTACAAAAGTCATGAAACTTGAGCCTCTGATTGCTTTGCGCAGATTGCTGGGTTTCTTGCAAGCAACACGCACCGGAACTGGCCTCGTGACTTGTACGAGAAGGTGGCTCGAAGCTTTTGAATATTTTTTGGGCTTATCATCGCCCAAGTTCTCAAATCTCGACCGTGATTCTGTTGACTTTTTGACGAGGATCCGAAGCTTTCATCTCTTGCGTATAAAATGAAATACATTAATCTAGGTGAAACATGTAATATTGCAGAGAGATTGGTTTTATAGAATTTGTTGTTTTTGTGTGAGTTATGATATAGTGGATTTTGATAAGAAATTGTTGTTTATTTTCTTATATCTAAAATTATATAATATCAATTCAAATTAATTATTTTTTGTCATTTTTATTGAAAGTTACTGATGCAGAATCGAATTTAAAGAGATCTGAAGAAAATGATAAATTTTTGCATGGCATGAAAAGAGTTTCTCTCATGAAGTTTTCCAACTCAGAGGGCTTTCAAAAGCAATTCCCCAATGGAATATCTAGCAAAAATTTATCTTTTGCTTCAGATCCCACTAACGATTTTTTATTTTTTTTCCATTTTGTTTCCCCATTTTGGCTCATATATATATATATGCGTTTTGTGATATACTTCCAGGAGAATGAATGGTGAGGGTATCAACGGTGTGAGTTTCGCCGAGCTGCGGTTACTTGAAACTCAGTTAAGCCAGGGCGTGCTCAGCGTGAATGACCAACTAGCGAAGGTAAAAAAGAACACTTGTCATTTCTCCTCAAATCATATTCTTGCAACAATTTGTTTTTTTTTTTTTTAACTATTTACAGAAGACATTAAAGCTGGAGGAAGATGAAAGACTTCTCATGCAGGTAAAAAAAGATTTATGCAACCTCTGTTTTTATCCTTTCCAATATGGAAAAGAGAAACCTCTGAGACACCACAGGTCTAAGTTGATTTTGCAATCTTTCTTTTTGTATTTCGATTTCTATCTCGGAAGAAGTTCAAAGTTTTATCTCTCTCTTTTCCCAATCAAGGAGGCAGGGGAAGGGGAAGATGTGTGGAGAGAAAGGATTTGTCAAAATAGGAGTGTGAATATTACCCATCAATTGGCTTTATCAAAGCAAAGAAAACTTTGGAGGAACTTGGCCAGGAAATTCCGGATCAGGTAATCCCAGATAATTATCTTTGTGCAAAGAGTTTGATTTTCTAGGTTTCTGAATTATGTCTTAGGTCACACTGAGACATGGAGCCTGTTGTTTACGAGTTATTAACCGCAGAATCTCTGAGTTTGCAATCTTTCTTTGACTATCTTGGCTTAGCTATTATCATTTCCAGCAGAAGAAGATGAGTCCTTCATGTCTCAGTGTTACCTTAGCTATGTTAAGTTTTTATTAGTCTTGGTGCAGCATCAGCATATATAGCTCATAAACTTGTGAAATGGATAAATTGCTTGCTGTTGATCATTTCATTGAACCAGCTGTTATTGAAAACAAGCCTGATATCTTTTGGTTGTGTTATGGATACAGTTGTCAAGGAATCAGAAAACATGACCATAATCATTGCGTTTCTTTTTTCTCACAATACTTCCGTTCTTGCAGCTGCATAACATCAAGTCCATGAAGATAGAAATCGAGAGAATACGGCTTTTGAACGAGTATTGACTCATTTAACATTTCTCACTTTTCTTACTCTCCAAAGTTCCCTGCCTGCCTTTTCACTGCAGTTCATATATGTTTATGCTTGTACGTAGGAGAATGAGTGGTAGAGAGCTCGATGGTTTATGCTACTTCCAACTGATGATACTTCAAAGGGAGATAAATTATGGTTTGGTCAATGTGAAGGGCCGGGAAGTGAGAAAAAAACTGGAAGAACATGCAAAGCGGTTCGAAGATGTATGTAAATTAAGATTTATCCATGTGTTCTATATATATATCTCTTCTTCTTTTCTCACATATATATTTTCTTGTTCACCAAAATCAAGGGATCATCATCAATCTCTCAGGCAAAATTGCAAAAAAGAAAAAGAAAAAAAAACTTATGGAAATTTCTATAATCGCAAAGGAGAAATTTACTTATTTTTCTTTTTTGGTTTTAAGGGTTCGGCTTGTCTCTGTGTCTGTATCAAACTAGGTTTCTCCCTCTTTCGTCTGATTATCTCAAATCGCAGTCTCTTTCTTTTGATTTTATTTTCTGGGTATCCGATCTCAAAATTGATATGGGGCGTGAGATGAAGAAGATCAGGCGAGTAGAACTGACGAAGAAGGTGAGAGTGACCTGCAATTTCTGCGACTCCTCCGGCAGCAGGTAAACTTTCTAGGGTTTTGTTGCTGAATCAGTTCTTAGGTCATTCGGATATGGAATTCTAGGGGTTTGTTGCTGAATCAATCAGTTCTTAGGTCATAAATTTTCGTTTCCTAATCTGATTTTGAGAATAATCTACGAGATCCTCAAGCTCTAGGTTCTAGGTTTTTTTAGTATGTTGGTCTAACCAACTTCTTCTGGGCCACACGGACAAGATCAGAACGCATTGGTATGTACCCACACCCTGTGACTTGTGTTACTGTCTGTATATGTATTTTCTGTTTTTGCTCACATGTCGTTTTCACAATGCTTCTCCAGTCTCCGTCTATGGAGAGCGAACTCAAGAGATTACGGCTTCTGAACAGGAGATTGACCGGTAAGGATCTCGACGGTCTGAGTTTCGCCGAGCTGCAGTTACTTGAATCCCAGTTGAAGGATGTCTACCACCTCGTGCAGAATCTAAAAGTGGTGAAGAAAGACGATGAATTGCTGAGCAGACAGGTACAAATTTGCCATGTTTTCATTCTTTGAGGCTTTCTGTTCTCGAACAATTGTTTTCCCTCTTTATTCACAGTTTTTACAATTTTTGCAGCTGAAAGGAGCAGTGGTCAAGGATGGCTTCAGGACTGGTAGCACGTGCTCTTCCCCAATGCAGAGGGAATTCGAGAGAAGAAGCTCGGAATCCATGCAGAGCGAATTTGAGAGACTGTGGCTTATGAATGAGTAAGGACTCGTTTTTTCACATTTTTTTCCCATTTCTTCACTTTGACTGACCTGACCTGACCCTTATTCTTTCTCTCAGGAGAATGTGTGGCAGAGATCTCCAGGCCATGACGTTTTTCGAGCTGCTCCTTCTCGAAGGTCGCCTACTCGATTCCATGAACAGTATCAGTGCTCATATTCTTGGACCAAGAATGGACGAAATGGCTTGGCAGTTCAAACAGGTAGTTATATCTGTCCTCCTATCTAGTTAAATCATCTAAATCGTTTCTCATTCTTTCTTTGTTTTTCATATGGCAAGGATGATCGCCAGATTTCTCTGCGGATTAGATCGCACGTCTCGCGTCTTTCCGTGTCAAGAAAGCTCAGGAGACTCCCAATCTGTCTTCACCGGAAGAAGACCATGCCGTGGATCCGCTAGACATGTCTCTATCTGCCTTAAATTTTGTGATACAATTCAGAGAGTTCTTATTGTCTCTCTTATCTCCTTCTGCTTTTGTGACCGAGAAATTAGGATTTTGGCCAAGTTAAAATATGTACATTCTAACAAAAACCTTTATTTTACCGTTTACAACAAACTATGAATGAATTAAACGGATCTCATCATCTTCTTCATTATCATCATTGGATGGATCCATATTCCATAAGCATATATGATTATTAGGGATAATATTATCCCACATTGGAAGCCCATATTCTAATATGGTATCAGAGCCCGATCCGTACATGTCCAAAGTGTAAAGAGCAAAGATAAGATTCGAACCTTGCACCTACAATAGTCACTAAACCACACGTAACCAACTGAGCTGAAATTTTAGATATTTCGTAGAGGGCCGCAAGCAGATGCTTCATCTGCCTGTCCCTAAAACCGGCTCTGAATTCCGACATTTCCTCCCGATTTAGGTAACCCCAAAAGCCCTAACTTCTTTTACACTTTTATTATGTCTCGAGAGGAAGTCTAAGATGTAACGATAATCTCTATTCGCATGCAGGTTCTTGGGGATAGATTAGTCATCGGAAGAGCATACCAGAGATCATGACGATCTCCTAATTATTATGGAAATAAGTTTATAAGTACAAACTTTGTAAAACTTTTCAATGCTACAAATAACAATACAAGATAGTATACAGTGGTATACCTCCTAATTATTGATATAATTCTATGACATGATATGTATGGACTTAGTCTTATATATATATATATATATATATATATATATATATATAAAACTGGGGATGTTTTTAACATCCATTCAGGTTAATCCTCTTTAACAAAGTTTCAATCTAACATTTAACTCTTGCAGTATAGTATATACTAGCTGTAATATAATCTTGTACAAGACTAACATAACAAATAGTTACATTAAACCCAAAAAAATAAATAATAACAAATAGATTGAAACGTATATATCATTCTATGTCTTTTTTTTTGGGTGAAGATGGACCAACTCAGAAGGCTTTCAAAAACAATTCCCTAATTATCTAGCAACATAGCAAGTGTTACCCATTTTTCTTTTTTTCTTTCTGTTAAAAAGTGTACCCACTTTCTTGCGTCATCTTGACACTACTACTTTTCATGTGAACTTACTATCTACAATGAGGATAAATATAGAAGTAAATGTTTGAGTTTTACCATTTCATCATCACACCCAAAAATAACTCATCTTTAAGCAATAGTATCATTTACATTTACTTCATCTTGCCTCTGTTTTTTCCTTGTTGTTTCAAATGTCAAGTGTCTGATGTCTTCTTACTCTGTCTCCTACTAACCAAACAACAGAATTGTGTAATTACATAAACACAGATCAACAGAAGAAGAGAACCATACACAAAAACCCTAAACAAGATGGGCTCTTCAGCAGGAGACATAACCGCCAAGTACACACAATCTCGTATAAGAACAAGCAATGCCAATCCTTCCACTGCATTTTTAATCACCAAAACTCTCTTCTTCTTTCCTTCTTCTTTGCATAACTTGCTTATAATCCTCAAAATCAAAACACCAACCACCAAGAACGTTGTACTAGACCATCCTCGGTACGTGACAATCTTCCCTCCCACTATTAATGGCTCTTTCCTGCATATACAAGACTTGCAGACTCCAGAGAAAGTTGACGTGACCAGAGCATCAAATCCTGTATAGTAGGGGAGAATCACAGCGTCTAAGTAAAGACTAGCGTGGAGGATTCCCGAGATAGTAGAGGCTTCGAAGAAGACAAAGCTCGCTTCTTTTTCAATATTGTTCTCGAACATAAGCACCGAGAGTTGAACAAGCTGTACTATAGCAGGTCCAAAGATGGAAATTGGGAAAAGGGTGTTGATCCTTTGACCTTTTGCAAGGATCAAGATGATCAAAGGAAGAGAGATTGGACCAGAAGGAAGTAAGTACCTCTTTGCTTTATCATCATCATCATCATCATCATTAGCATCTTCTCTTCTTCTTCTTGATATAATTACCTTCCTTAAGACAACAATTAGCGTCGTCAAGTAAAGAACCGTGATGAAGAAGAAAACCAGAACATCAGTGATTTGAGGGTAGTCGCCGGCGTAGATGCTGTCGCAGAAGTAGTGGAAAGGGCAGTTAATAGGATCAAGTGTGTCCTCGAATTGCCATTTTGTGCATTTGAAAAATGTTTTCTTTCGATCAGAATCCATTTCCCATTCTGAGTTCATAATTTTGGTTATTGTTTTGATCTATATGATTTTTTGGTTTCCTTAGAAGCTACACATATAGTGTGTGTGACATCATATCATATGGTTGATTCCCTTTCATTGTCTGGTTCTAGATGCTTGAACTGCAGACTATAAAATGGATAATGAAACTCTATCTGAAATCTGAATTCTATCTTCATTTAAAATGTATAAGAGAGAAGCCTTGATCTCTAAGGGAAATAAAAGTTTGGTGGGCTGATGGATGATTGGTATTGTACTATTGTGTAAATTACTACTAATTGTTAATTGAATAATTACGTATGTAACTGTTTAAATTCCGGTCGACTGAAATTGCTAGGGAAATACTGTGAACCGAACAAAACCGAACCGGACCACGTTTTAGTCTACTACTTTTGTTTTTGTGTTCCGATAGAAGCAAATTTTTTTGGGGAAAGAGTCGAGATGAGGAAGCTGAATCCGCTTCTGAAACGAGGCTTGAAAGCTGTCGAAAATGGTGATTTGGTGAAGATCCTCCAAACTGAAATTCGTCACGAAATCTCCCATCCTCGTTTCCTGGTAAATTGTTGCTCTCGGTAATCTCTCAATTGAGTTATAAATCAATGGTGCTCAACATTAGTTTGATTAGACTTTTGTCAGTTTCAATTTCATGTTTCTGGATTGATGAACATTATAGTGGTTTACCAGAGTAGCGAATTTGAAGATGTTGGATCACATAAACCCTAGGATTTTAAGTACATTTTTATAGCTTTATGATTTTGCTTTGCAGGGCGTTGAGACCGGTTCTCTAGGAGATTTCAAATTGGATTGGGATTCTCCGGAAAGCCAAGATATTGTTCTGAAGAGACAGTTTGTTTCAGGCGAGGAGGTTGTGGTCTCGGCTTTATTGCAACCAGAACCTATAGAACTAGATGATGATTTAGTGTTTCCTAGGGAAGCTCTTGCCAAAGTTTGTATCAAAAAGCCTGGTCTCAGCTCTATCTTGCAGTTTCATTGCCGGGTTTACGAAACAGGATCTGGATCTTCTGATTTTGACGTTGAGAAAGCGCGCTTTATCCGCTCTTTGGTTTCTGCTTCTTCTTCGACTTATAGAGATAATTTTCTCAGGTGAATCATCATATCCTCCCTGGTAGATTGAGCTCTTATCTATCTCTGAGAATTTTAGTTACTTTATATTGAGCTCATAACACTTGTGACTAGCATTTCAAACTTACACATTCATCTAGTGGCATTTTCAGTTTAACAACTAGGCTGAATCTTCTTAATTACTTCATCAAACCTCAAAGCATTGGTATACTTTTGCCTCTTGGAGTAGTTGTTCTATATATCGAGAAGAATCAGACTATTATAGTGAATTTGGAGAATGCTATTATTGATTATTGTAGCTGATATCTTTTTCCTCCATTCGTAATCGCTGCTTATATTTGTTGTTACCAAAATTGTAAAAAGGTTAAGTGGTTCATGTGTCTGAATATGTTTGATTTCAATGACTGATGTTTTTTTTTTTTGTATCTTTAGGCCAATAGATTTCAAACTGGGGCATGAACTACGGCATTATCTAATATCCAAGGGAATCAGTGAAGGCCTAACCAATTTCATCGTGTGTCACCTGAACAAGAAGGAGCAGGATCAGTACGTTAACTGGTTACGCAGGCTTGAATCAACAATGTCACATTCTCCAAAGCCGTGAGTGTTTACTCCATAAGCTCATTTCTTTTCACCTTCTTTTTGTTGGAATTTTTCTTGCAAAGGTAAAATGGCTTAGGAGTAGCATTATTAGCTAAGAGAGTCCTTGCAATGGATGTTTTGAAGGAATATTTATAGACATGTTAACTGTTTATATTTCCAACAAATGGGACCCTAAATCGTATGCTTTTGAATTTTCAAGCAAGCTTGGTTTGAGCTTTGATCTTTCGCAGATGATTAGCCCTGAGATAATAGTAATAGGCCTCTACATAACCACTCTCATTCATGTATATGTTTTTCTAAATCAATACTTGATCGTAATACAAATATAAACTGAGAAAAATCTGACAGTTTCACATAATTAAGGTTTTGATGACATGTACACACCAATAATGTCTTTTGGTCTTTTTTCCAAAAATGCCTAAAAATAAGAAAAAAGGAATAGAAAAGTCTTTACGAACAAAAAAAAGGCAAATGAGAGAACAAAAATTCGGAGCAGGGCAGCGTCAAGTGGTCTGATTCCTCCACGATTCAAAGTTGGGGCGGCGCATCTCTCCCCTTCTAGTGGGATTTATATCCAAATGTGATTAGTTTTAGACTGCCGAATCTTTGACAATTTGTAATTTGTTTATCTGCTGTGCAACGGAAAGTCCAAACATGATATAATTAAAGGGAAATTCACATTTTTAACCTTCAAATTGTCACTGGGTAGCACTTTAAACCTCGAAAGAATTCCACTAATATTATAAACCATCAAAATAATTTTACTAATACTTTAAACCTCAAAACTAGTTTTCATGTTTACATTGCTATAAAATATGATAGAATTAGTATAAATTAATATTAATTTATTTCGTTTAATTTAATTTTTAATTAATTTATTATTTATTATGATTTTACGATTATTAAGAAAAGTAAAAAAAAAAAAAAGTAGATTCCTATGATACGGAGAATGCTTCGTTTTCTGACTAAACTTTGACATTCTTTGGTTTTTATTATTCTATTTAAGCTTCTATTGTACCTTATTTTATACATTATTTGGTTTTTATTATTATACTTTAATTTTTTGTTGTGCTTAAGTCTATAGTTTCAAAGGTTTAATTTTGAAATTTCATGGTCGATAAAAAATGTGAAGTTTTTTTTTTTTGTCTTTTTTAGATTTTTATTAATTTTAATAAATAATAAAAATAATTTAAATTTCAATGAAATTAAATAAATATATATTAAACAAATAGAAATTAATTTTTCCATCATTTTTTTTATGGCGGGACAAAAAGAAAAGGTAGTTTGAAGGTTTAAAGTGTTAGTAAAATTATTTTGATGGTTTATAGTGTTAGTGAAATTCTTTCGAGGTTTAAAGTGTTACCCAGTAATACTTTGAAAGTTAGAAATGTGAATTTCTCTATAATTAAATATGTATATAACCAGGACCGGCCCATAGGTAAAGCCCATGAAGCAAGGGCTTTAGGCATCAAATAATTATAAGTAGTTTTAAGGGCATCAATTTTTAAAATATTATTATGGTCTAGTGGTTAGATTGAAGTATTTTGTTGTACAGCTCACGGTTTCGAATCTCATACATGTTAAAACTTGTATTTTTTTTTTTATAACAGCTTTTGTTAATGGGCCAAAAATTTTTTTGCTTTAGTCACTCAAATAGTTTGGGCCGGCCCTGTATATAACCAGCCAAAGTATAAATCACTTAACACTAAAAACTTGTTAGTAGAAGTATATTTGTACTTGTATGTGTTTAATTTTTCTCGATTTATATATTGTTTAATATAAATATAAATAAATGTCTTATTTAGTTTTTGTTTATAATTTTGTAATTTTTAGTTTTATATATATATTTTATATAACTTTTATATATAATATTATATTTATAATGTTTTATGTTATAAACGTCTAAACCGTCTTAAAAATCGCATAGGCTCCGATTAGGCGTTCTAGGCGCTAGGCACTGGGTCACCGCCCTTTTAGCGCCTAGCGCTTTCTTGAACACTGGTTAAAACTTGTATTTTTTTTTTTATAACAGCTTTTGTTAATGGGCCAAAAATTTTTTTGCTTTAGTCACTCAAATAGTTTGGGCCGGCCCTGTATATAACCAGCCAAAGTATAAATCACTTAACACTAAAAACTTGTTAGTAGAAGTATATTTGTACTTGTATGTGTTTAATTTTTCTCGAAAACATAAATCTGTTATTGTGAATACTGTAGTGCACTCACGTGACATTCATAGATCTTGAGGTTTCGAATTGAAAGACGCAAAAATATATTCCACAAAGCATATTCGTCCGGGTCGGATCATTTGATTTGGTTCCCTTAATTATCCGAATGAGACGAAAATGAATGAAATTTGAAAGAATGGGCCCTATCGGAGCATAAAATCTGATTAATTCGGGTCGGGTTTGGGTAATCCATAAAAAGCAACTCTCAGTCTCTCACACCAATCCGTTGCCCAGTCCTCTCTCTCTCAGCTGCCTTCGCGCCGGCGAAGTTTATCTCTCTCTGAAAACAGAGAGTGAGAGTGAGAGTGAGAAATGTCGAATTTGTTAAGGGACTTCGAGGTCGAGGCTAAGAATCCGTCGCTGGAAGCGCGTCAACGATGGAGGTCCTCCGTCTCTATAGTGAAGAACCGTACTCGTCGTTTCCGTAACATTCGGGATCTCGATAAGCTCGCTGACTACGAGACCAAGAGGCACGAGATCCAGGTTCATATATGTTTGTTTCTATCTCCATTTTTCAATTTTTTGTTGTTGTGAGTATGGTTCTGATTTTGATTTTCTGAACGACGATTGGTTAAATGTGTGATACTTAAAAGTTAAAACCCTTTGAAGGAGGAGTTAATAATAATAATGATTTGACCATTTTAAGCTTTTTTTCTGCCATTGATGATCCGTACAAAAGAACTTTATCAGAAAGGCTTTACTTGTTCTTTTTCATAGTCTAATCCACACTTTTGCACACCAAAGCTTTTATTTTTTGGTTTCCTTTAACATTTTTTTATTCGCTAACTCTTCAAAGAAAATTTGTTTTTAATTCATCAACTTAGATTCTTTTCTCGATGCTATGTGTGTGTAATCAAAAACACATTAAAATTTCGCTAGTGAAAAATTACGGAATTTGCTAAATACAAAACGCAGGGAAGTATGAATCAAGGGTTATCTTAAGGATGAAATTATTATTTTCTTTGGAGCGTTATCTTTTTTGTTCAATTGCGGAAACCAAAGAAAATAATAATTCAACTGGCACCACACATGATGCTGACATCAAAGTTGTGTCGTTGCTTCAGTGTGTCCTCTACTGTGTTTACAAATGGATAATATTCTTGTCGCTACTAGGAAGATGAGCCAATAATCTGAGAGGCCACCAAAAGTCTGACCCTTTTCTTTTTTAGTTTTTTTCTCTTCTTAGCGACTGAATCCAAACACCAAAGGACGAATTTCAGTTTCAAGACTTCTTAGCTTTATGATACCAGTTTTATATTTTCCTTAAATTCAACTTTGACTTATGGTACGAGGACTTCTTGTGTGCAATAATTTAGCTTAAGGAAGTTACACACGCAAACTTTGGCCCGGTGTATTTTCATAAGGTTCTGTAACTGACATCACCATTTATCTCTCCACTTGCACAAACTAAATAAAGAAGCATTTTTGGGATTCTTATTATGGATATGATGAGCTCATGGTC